AAAATTTTTAAAAAATATTACCGAGACTAATACATAAAAGAACCAATTTATAATATACAAGTTTATGGAATTCGTTTCAGAATCAATATACTCTTATCCAACCTAATAATACAAGTCGTCATTATCAAAATTTCTCACGAATACGGCGGAATTTTCTTGATACAACTGCAAAATTTAATAGTCGAGGTGATAAAGCATTGGAAGAAATTAAAAGATATGAAGATTTTACGACAATTGGTGATCTATTTTTTTATTAAATATTCAAGTATTTTTTTTTTTTTGTTAAAATTTGTATTGATTTTGATTTATTACTATTTATTACTATAGATTGGGTTCAAGATGCTATATACGAACGATCGAGAATGAATGCATTACGAAGTGCTGCAATAGAAAATAGATTTTCATGGAACACGTGGTTTCGTCTTTCTTACGAGTCAAGTCAAGCATGGATCGTCGTGTCGATAGTTGGTCTGTATCCTTAATTTATTTATTTTTATAATATAATTTTATTAACATTATGTTTCCATATTTTCTTATTATTTAGGTGCAATTATTGGTCTCAATGCTGCATTGACTGATACTATCACAGAATGGCTTTCAGATATAAAATTTGGCTATTGCAAGAATGCTTGGTGGTTAAATCAAAAGTTTTGTTGTTGGGAAATTGAGAAGCCAGGTTAGAATCTCATTGGTGTACAATTTCTTGTCATGCTGTTTTTGTAATGGCATTTTTAATTTTTTTTTCTTTAAAAAAAGATGGTTCATGTGATAATTGGCAAACATGGACAAACTTTTATATTATAAATTGGTTCTTTTATGTATTAGTCTCGGTAATATTTTTTAAAAATTTTATTGGGATCTCTTACAGTATAGGTGACCTACTTTATAATCAATTGATTAATAATACATTTTATTAAAGTGGTCTCCTATATTGCAAGAAATCCTTTAATTATATCCAGTGTTGGCATTTGGACATGATCAAATATGGACATGGACTAATCCAAATAGTGTCCATGTCCATATTTTGTATATCTATATATTGATCAATGTTCAAAAAATTTTCTTAAAAAAAGTATCCTGACGTAATGACGGGCAATTTACGGATTTCTCCAATATCCTGCATGGAATAAAGGTAATCACTTTATGATTCACTCATGTCTTCTTTGCCAAATCTTTCGAAATGTTGCCCGTATTTTACGTTCAATGACTTTCTATTCGGAAATAGTAAAGCATTCGATTTTTATTTGGACCAAGTACCTATGCCTAGGGTTGTTAATGGAGTAGCTTACTCCGGAGAACTCTAGAGTAGAACCCAACTCAAGTTGGAGTGGGTTTAAAATTATGTCTTTAAATTTGGTGCAACCTGGAGCAACCCGGAGCAAAGCATTGGAGTAAGTCTAATTTAGCAACCCAACCCAACCCATTAACAACCCTACCTATGCCCAATAAAAAAATATGGACAATATGGACATAGTCCATAAGTGTCCATGTCCATTTGTCCATCTTGTCCATGTCCATATTCTGCCAACACTGATTGTATCTATATACCTATATTTTTTTAATCATCAAAAATTATCATCTTATTATTATTATTATTGTTATTGTTATTATTATTAAGGGGCTCTTGGCAGCTATTTGTGCTTATCTGACACGCTCTTTAGCTCCATATGGGGCTGGTTCTGGTATTTCTGAAATAAAATGTATTTTAGCTGGGTTTATCATGAAAGGATTTTTGGGTGGTCGTACCCTATTGCTTAAAAGTGTTAGTGTGGTAAGTGATTCTTTTTTATCGTATAAAGGCTGTAACTTTACTATTTTACTTTATGAAATATATGCGATAATTATCTATCTATTCATCTACGTGGTTTTCAATATCATCAGCCTCTGGCCATTGGGTCTGGATTAAGTGTTGGAAAAGAAGGTCCCGCTGTACATACAGCCGCTTGTGTTGGAAATGTCGTTTCAAGAATGTTTGGAAAATATACTAGAAACAAAGGTATGTTATTTATTTATTGATAATATTTTGATATAAAAGGATGTCCACATTATTTTTTTTTTTAAATGGTAGCCAAAATGCGTGAAATTTTGTCCGCCTCGTGCGCGGCTGGTGTTGCTGTTGCTTTTGGTTCTCCTATTGGTGGTGTCTTATTTTCATTCGAGGTAAGTAAAGTTTTTATACATTCCGAATATTTATTATCAAACTGTGACATTATGTTATTACAATTCTAGGAAATGAGTTCAAATTTTCCTATGAAAACTATGTGGCGTAGCTTTTTTTGTGCTTTGGTAGCAACTGCTGTTTTACAGGCTATGAATCCTTTCAGAACTGGAAAACTTGTCATGTTTCAAGTCACTTATGATAGGGAATGGCATTATTTTGAAATCGTCTTTTTTGTAATATTGGGTGCATTTGGCGTAAGTGACATCTTTTACTCATTGAAACTATATAGATAAATGTAGATTATTAATTCTATATATTATTAAATAGTTATTTATATATACAACTCATTGTTAACTCTATATATTTCATTTAGGGTTTATACGGCACATTAGTCACAAGATTCAATATTAAGGTTCAATATTTTAGGAAAAAGTACTTAAAAGATTATGCAGTGACTGAAGCAGTTATACTTGCTGTTATTACAGCAATATTCGGTTATCTTAATATATTTATGAAATTAGACATGACTGAAGCTTTGGGACTCCTTTTTGAGGAATGTGAAGGGAAGAAACATTATGATTATGAAGGTCTTTGCAAGTAGGTTTAACCCCTAGGTTATCTTCACTTGAAAATTTTGCTTTAGAGGCCTATCCCATTTCACTTGTAAATGTTTTATTATTATTATTCTCGTAAATATTGTTATAATGTGGCTTTTCCCTTCTTATTCAAAGAAACTCGGATTTTTCGAAAGGATCAGAGATTGTTAGAATGATGGTGCTATTATTGATAGCAACCATTCTTCGAACTGTTTTCATTATAATATCTTATGGAGCGAAAGTACATAAATGTCACATCTCGTTTAAGAATCATATATTTTTGATAAATTTCTTCACTAATTAGTTCTACACATCGATTTTAGGTTCCTGCTGGAATATTTATCCCTTCAATGGCCGTAGGTGCTACCTTTGGAAGATTTTTTGGTCTTTTCGTGAAATCTTTTCATGCGTATGTTAGATTTAAACTATCTCTTATATAGTTTTGTAAATATATTGTTCTTACATATTTTATTCATTATTTGATAGTGCATATCCTACATTTCCAATGTTTGCATATTGCAAACCTGATGTACCAGTAAGTCATAATACCTGTTTTCTATTTATTATTTCTGTATATCACTAATTAATTTTATTATATAGTGTGTCACACCTGGGATGTACGCATTTTTGGGTGCTGCTGCTGCTTTAAGGTATGTAATTAAGGTTTATATCAACATGTTACAACATGTTAGTAGTGTTAATAATGTGTTATATATTTACATGTATAATATTTCTGTTTTGTTATTATCTATTTAGTGGTGTTATGCATCTTACTGGTATATATCATAAAAGATTATCTATTTACTGCATAAGATCATTAATAAAGTATATTGCTAAATCTTTTATCATTTTTCAGTTTGTATAGTTGTCATAATGTTTGAATTGACAGGGGCTCTGACCTACATTTTACCTACGATGGTATGATTGATTGCTGAGCATTGTTCTTTATTTGTTTGCCATAATTATATATATATTTATTTATGTTTTATATTTATATGGATTATAGATTACTCTGATGGTCACCAAGACTGTTTGTG